TGTCTCTGTTGTCTTCAAAGGGAAGGTGGGTGCTCACCATAGACAACTTTCTACTCCTACCCTCAGGGCTNAGGGACAGTGAATCCACCCCCTCCCTGGGCAGCCCATTCCAAGGTCTGATCACTCTCTCTGTAAAAAATTTCTTCCTCATATCCAACCTAAACCTGCCCTGGTGCAGCTCAAGGCTGTGCCCTCTTGTCCTACTGCTGGTTCCTGGGAGAAGAGACCAACCCCCACCTGGCTACACCCTCCTGTCAGGGAGTTGTAGAGAGTGAGGAGGTCTCCCCTGAGCCTCCTCTTCTCCAGGCTGAACAACCCCATCTCCCTCAGCCTCTCCCCACAGGACTTGTGCTCCAGTCCCTTCACCAGCCTCGTTGCTCTTTTTGCTGATTTATCGTTCACACTTGATTTAAATAAATCCTCAAATTTTGCATTAGATCTGATTTATCACTGGGCTACTGAGCAAAAATTGGTGGCAGCACAATTGGTAAAGCAGGTCCCTGAACCAGTGTGAATACTTGCTGAATCATTTTCATATGGTTTAATTACCTGTAAACCTGTAGCTGAAACTTCCAGCAGGGAATCTCAAAGGATGTAGGATGTTGTATGGCTCTTGAATTTTGCTACAGTCAAATCTAAAGGGAAAAGTTCATAATGAAAGATGTAACAAAAATATGTTAATAATTAATTTTAGAAATACAGAAAAACCTCTGTGCTTAAATTTGTCTCTTGTTTGAAGCAGGACACCACTGCTCTTATGGCTTGGTGGGGTTTTTTTCCCTTCTTTAGTGGCAACTTTACACTCATGCTTTTAACCCAACTCACAGCTTCTTTGTGGGATATTGTCTTTTCCATTTGCATCTTCTGGAATGCAGTCAAACCTTCATGCAGAGATGGCAATCCCCAGCTATTCCAGGGCTTTTAGGCATCCCCTGTGGCTGTTGTGTTGACTGATCCAGTTGTGATGATTAACGTTATGTTTGGTTAATAAGCCCAAGAGTCCAGACTGTGCAAGAACTCTCTTTGTGCAGCATCTTATCACAATTGCAGAGCCAGTTTTTTTTCTCAGAACAAAAGTGCTGGAAGCTTCCAAGAGCTGTTGAACAGGAGCAAGGAGCAGGTGTATTTTGGAATAAAAGCCAAGTGAGACCCTGAGATGAGCTCAGTTGCTTAGGCCATGGTTCTAATAACCCTGAGGTCATGGGCTTGATGCCTGTAGGGGCCATTTACTTCAGAGCTGGACTCGATGATCCTCGTGGGTCCCTTCCAACTCAGAATATTCCGTGATTCTTTGATCTTCTTTTCAGGTAGAAGCATATCTGCTGCTGTAGCCTGGTAAAGGAGCCCCAAAATCAGTTATGGGCCACTTACTTTGTGACCCCACAGGTGGTGTGTTTGGGTCTGTCTTGCTCTGTGGTAAGTCATTGCTGTGGGAGCCTTTGAAGAAGCACTGAGGGTTCCAGCCTCTACAAGCCAGCTGTGTGCTCTGCTTCCTGGAGATGTCTACAGGGTTTGTCCTCAGCAAGTGCTTTGTGTTTTGCAATATGCATAGATAGGCAAATATTTTTATTCACGGTGTTATGGAATCATTTGGGTTGGAAGGGATCTTAAAGATCATCTGATGAAATAAAAAAAAGGACTAATGATCCTAAGATGCCTGACTCACCAAATGCCATAATTTTGTAGCTGCAACTTCTTTTGACTGATTTTAATCTTCAATTTGTGTTACTATACTAATGACAATAAAACAGCTCCTTAAGAACTGCCTATTCCTTGGTAGCCCTGTATTGATGGTATTGTTATTTGG